CCGCTTCTGGCCGACTGCTTGAACCTCATCCTCCCTAAATCGGAACATCTGCACCATGGGCGTTCGCGTGACACAGGTGCAGTTGAGACACTCCCTGTCACCGCACCCTGCGTCCCTGCTTTGGACCTTCAGAATCCGGGGCGTTGGCTCGAAACCAGGAACGAAAATGGGCCTCTGCTTCTAGCCCAAACTCGACAGGTGAGGGAATCCGGCACGGCAGGGGGAGGGGATCAGACTTGGCTTCACTCCTCGTGGCCACCTACCCTGACGAGGTGTGGTCTTTAGACCTCCCCGCCCCACGGTGGGCGGGCTGAGCGTGCGGGTCCCGCCTCCTGCCTATAAGAGTGGTGCGGCACTGCAGCTCCGCAGATCTCACCGAGACCCGTGACCCCGACTCAACGTGAGACGCACAACCCAGACTCATCATGGTGAGTGAGGCCCCCCCTGGGATCTCTCTGGTCCTGTAAATGTCCCGCTCCTTTGGAGAACTCCCTCTAGAGAAGCTGGGGGGCCCTTTACTTGGCTCTCCGAGTCTCTGGGAGATGCAAGAGTTTTGCACTTCCCCCCACCCCTCCTGGTGACTTTGGCCTAGTGTGTTGTCCACCTTCAGAGTGTGACCGGGGGATGATGTTTCTTCACTAGCAGAGAGGAGCCCTACTGTATTGCCCTCCGGCCGAACCAAGAGTCTTGTGTCCCAACCCTCCTGAGGGGAGTCACGCGGTCCTGCACCCAGTCCTCTCCTCGGGCGGCGGAAGACCTGCTTGGCTGTCCCCGTCACCCATCTCTATCCCCTGAGTCCCTGGGACTGACCGAACACGTGCTTGGCGCCTGTCGGTAGAAGGGGTTACTTAGTACCGCACCCCGTCTTCCTCGGTGTGCCTCCTTCCCACTTACACCCCCATACGTGACTCAGCACCCCCTTCTGAGCCAGAAAGGGTGGCGGGAATGGGGTTTGGCCTCAGGAGGCCAGCGGGCCCCTCCTACGGGAGAGCTGGTGCTAAGAGGACGGGCAGAGACAGCTGGCGCTGATCGACAGCCCCGGCCGAGGCCAGGTTGGCGGGGGAGGGGAAAGAGGTGTCTGTAGGGGGTTGTATTTATAGCCCCGGAGCGGGGGCAGAAACCCAATCCGGGCTTTCGGCTGGGAAGTAACTGGAAAGACTCCAATGGGAGAGCAGACGTAGGGCCCAGGTACAGATGGCTCTCCCCTTGCCTGGTGCGTGAAGCAAGGCGGGTTCCCTCAAGGGCTTCCTGGCAGGTTCCACTTCCTTTTCTGGGTACTTAGAAATTGCAAAAACACCCCCCCACACACACACCTCCCGCCGCCGCCGCGTGCGCGCGCGCACGCGCGCCACTTGGTTGTGGGAGGGTGCTGCAAGGGTTAAATTATGGACTGCCTGGCCGGAGCTTCAGACGGCCAGTGCACCAGTATACCTGTATTGCCTGCACCTGCCGTCAGCGCTTACCCGCATTATTGCTGCTATTTCCGTGCGGGCTGAGGCGGAGGATGGAGGTGGTGAAGCCATACAGAGTGTGGGGGTGGAGGTGGGGAGAGGAGCCAGATGGGATTGATTCCTCAAGGCCAGATGGGATTTAAAGGTGGTGGGGGTTACCCCATTCTGATGGCCAGAATGGTCAGCTGATACCAGATGGAAGGTTGAGACACCTCTTTGCCCACAGGAAAGAAGGGGAGAGGGTTACGAGAAATTTTATCTTCAAGGCAAAGATTAACCAAGTAGAGTGCTGGCTATAAACTGTAAAAGATATTTTAGAAGCTGCATGGACTGGAGGCAGCTGGAAAGCCTGTCTGTCTGTCTGTCTGTCTGTCTAGATGCAGCTTCTGGATAAATTTCCTATTGAAGGTGGCCAGAAGGATCCCAAGCAAAGGATCATAGTTGCTGCAGCCCCGCCTGTCATGTGTGCATGCCCTCCCTGTCCTCTCTGAGTGTCCTGTGGAAGTTAACAGGATTATACAGCTCTCACTTGATAAATTTTCTAAGGGGTTGGTCTGCCCTGCTGGACACCTCAATCAGGGAAGCCCTGTGCTAAGGAGACTGGAGAGGCTGCCAGCTGCTTCTGACCTCTCAGCTCCAACCTGACTGTACTTTTACCAACTGAGTAATCTTAGCTAATAGGTGACAGGGTGGGAGAGGACCTCATCTAGTGGGGAGTTGTAGATGTGGCACTTACGCTGTGACCTTCTCTGTATCCCTCAGCGTGAGTGCATTTCAGTCCATGTGGGGCAGGCAGGTGTCCAGATGGGCAATGCCTGCTGGGAGCTCTACTGTCTGGAACATGGGATTCAGCCTGATGGGCAGATGCCCAGCGATAAGACCATTGGTGGAGGGGATGACTCCTTCACCACCTTCTTCTGTGAAACTGGAGCTGGAAAACATGTGCCTAGGGCAGTCTTTGTGGATCTGGAGCCTACTGTAATCGGTAAGCAGGGGTGTGGAGGGGCACTTTTGAGGAAAGTCGAGTGTCTCTTGCAGAGTGTCTAGACTAGGTTTTTGTGATCTTGAAGCCCCTTGACTTTATTTGATGATGAAGATGGATGCTGACCCCAGGCTGGTAGAAGAATGGGCTAGTTCTTCCATGTATCTGCCATTCTTGAGGGTGGGGAGGAGGAGGGTCTCTGCTGAGCATGGCCTTGTGGTTTTTGACTCAGCAATGTGATATTTATATACATATATATATATATATATATATATATATATATGGTCTTTTAGATGAGATCCGAAATGGCCCATACCGACAGCTCTTCCACCCAGAGCAGCTTATCACTGGGAAAGAAGATGCCGCCAACAACTATGCCCGTGGCCACTACACCATTGGCAAGGAGATCATCGACCCAGTGCTGGACCGGATCCGCAAACTGGTGAGACTATAGCTTGGCAGCGAGGGAGCTATGGAGTCAATGTTCAGGAAGTTTTCAGATCCATTTCTGGGATCGTCTCTAGCTGTATGTTTTAGAATTCAATGCTGTTTAGGGGGACATTCAGTCTTTGCCCTAACTTCTGAGATACTTTAGGCCTCATAAAACTAGAAGAAAATTCCTTAGGCTTCTCCCCTACCTACATTGCTCTTTCTTCCTTGCCTTTCAGTCTGATCAGTGCACAGGACTTCAGGGCTTCCTAGTATTCCACAGTTTTGGAGGGGGCACCGGCTCTGGCTTCACCTCCCTGCTGATGGAGCGGCTTTCTGTTGACTATGGCAAGAAGTCCAAGCTGGAGTTCTCCATCTACCCAGCTCCACAAGTGTCCACAGCTGTGGTGGAGCCCTATAACTCCATCCTGACCACCCATACCACCTTGGAGCACTCAGACTGTGCCTTCATGGTGGACAACGAGGCTATCTATGACATCTGCCGCCGTAACCTGGACATTGAGCGTCCAACCTATACAAACCTCAACCGCCTCATCAGCCAAATCGTCTCCTCCATCACAGCTTCCTTGCGCTTTGATGGGGCCCTCAATGTGGACCTGACAGAGTTCCAGACCAACCTGGTGCCCTACCCTCGAATCCACTTCCCCCTGGCCACCTATGCACCCGTCATTTCTGCAGAGAAGGCCTACCATGAGCAGCTGTCAGTGGCAGAGATCACCAATGCCTGCTTTGAGCCTGCCAACCAGATGGTGAAGTGTGACCCTCGGCATGGCAAGTACATGGCCTGCTGCCTGCTCTACCGTGGGGATGTGGTGCCCAAGGATGTGAACGCCGCTATCGCTGCCATCAAGACCAAGCGCAGCATCCAGTTTGTGGACTGGTGCCCCACAGGCTTCAAGGTTGGTATCAACTACCAGCCACCCACTGTGGTGCCTGGGGGTGACCTGGCCAAGGTGCAGCGTGCAGTGTGCATGCTGAGCAACACCACTGCCATTGCTGAGGCCTGGGCCCGCCTGGACCACAAGTTTGACTTGATGTATGCAAAGAGGGCTTTTGTACACTGGTATGTGGGTGAGGGCATGGAGGAGGGGGAGTTCTCTGAGGCTCGAGAGGACATGGCTGCCCTGGAAAAGGATTATGAGGAAGTAGGCATCGACTCCTATGAGGATGAGGATGAGGGAGAAGAATAAGCAGCCGCTTGGAGCCGGTTTTCATTGTTTATTGCAAAATCCTTTCGAAATAAAGTCTCCCTGCACGGTTTCTCGTCCCCCTTGGTGACTGCTTGGCTTCTGCTGTGGCTGCTACTTCCCGCTATTTGCTGCTCACGACCTTTTACCATTTCATGCCTGAAGGTGAGCCCTGTATTGAGCCCCAGAAAGTATGATGTAAAGTCCTAAGGACACCCAAAATAGGAAAGAAATGAGGACCAAATCCTGGACTTGTCTGTCTAGCTACAAACTATTGCAAGATCCAAGTCTTCACTTTTCCTAATAATAATTGATGTCTGGTGGGTTTTTTGGTTTTTTTTTTTTTTCCAAGTGTCTAGTGGCTTCTGTGTTGGATGATCGACTGCTTTTGCTCTTGCTGCTGCTGCTTCACTCAACAGCTTTAGAAGCAAGGCCTGGCCCAAGCTTCGTTGTACACTGAGGGTTTAGGAATGGGGACTGGGCCAGCCCAAAGTTCCTGGGCATAGAGCCACCCTCACAAACTTGGGGGATGGGCGGGAACAAGGGCAATCTCCTGGTTGTTTGTGCCATCACACCTCCAGCAGCTTTGCAGAGCTTGCTGTCTATCTTGCTTACTGGGGCTTGAGCTATGCTATTAAAAGTCAGGACGTCTCCCCTCTGTTTGTTTTCCTTTGGCCTCAGCCTCTGCTTGGGGTGGAAGCCTGCCTGGACCCTAGGGAAAAATTATACTTCGCTAATAGGCACCCTAGGACTCAGGTTGACGTCAGCATGTAGAGGTGGGCATGGCTTGGGAGGAAGCTTCAAAATCTCCAGGACAGCCAACCCTGCCCTTGCCTCCCCTCCCTGGTGATTCAGGGACGCAGTGCCCTTCCCTGAGGAACTGGTTTAAAGCCCAGCTAAGGCTGGGTGCCTGTTTACTCAGCAAATGGGGCAGGAAGTGCCTGCTGGATACTGCCACAGGCCACTAGCCTCATCAATTATTAACTGTGTATGAGCTAGAATAGTCAGGGAGACTGGAAAAAATGGAAGCCAGTTCCACTCCCTTTGTCCTCAGCTGAGGGAGACCTGTAGGCTTCCATCCAGAGGTCATGGAGTTGGCAAACCTGCTGGGCTGGGCTGTTCTAAGCTACCCACCTTCAGAATGAGTGACAGAACTAGTGGAGTGTGCTTTCAAAGGGACCCTGGTCCCACTTCTCAGTACAGGCAGAAAACCAGCTTAAGCTGGAGACTCTGGTTTTGACCAAGGGAAGCTTAAAGACCTGTCTGCTGCCAAGCAGTCAAATCTTAAGAACTCTATCTGCCTTTGCCATCACACCAGTCCCTCTTCCCAGGCTATTCCCTTGGAAATGGTAACTAAACGGTTCGTTCTTTTTCTCTCCAGACACAATGACCTAAAATACACGTTTTCACTTTATTCTCCTGTTTATGTATCTCCTGCTACCAGATTTGGAGGCAGAACATGATGTGCGCCCAGCAGTCCAGCTTTGAGCCCTACTTTGTTTCACTCTCCCCCAACTCACCCTAGGCTCCTAGCCCAGGTACTGGGATAAGAGAGCAGAAAACACAAGGACCCACCATCCTTGCCCCTAACTATAACAGCCATCCTGGATAGAATGGAAGGAGTTCCAGTGAAGGATGAAAACTTCTTCAAGGTCATCTTCCCAACATATCAGATTTGGGTGGTGTGCTGGCCAGGAGCAGGAGGCTGCATTGCCTCCAACTGACTGAGGAGGACAGGAATGTGAGGGCGCTGCTGGGGGTCCACAGTCATCATAGAGCCCAAAAGCTGTCGCAATGCCGAAGAATGCCTGTGGGAGATGGAGGGCAGAGGACTGGAGGAGGACGCCTAGACTAAGGTTGCTAAAATTCCAACTTGGCTGGCTCTAGGCAATAGTCTACAGTGCTTAGTGTCCCTCCTGCTGCTCACCTGGGGCTTTGTGGGATGCTGAGTTCATTCTGCACAGCAAGAGCCACACTGTCACCCTTCTGGAACACCATATCATAAGGGCCTTCCCCAAACATCATGGCATAAAGCACACAGCCTAGGGACTGAGCATAATTTGGTTAGTTTCTGGAAGAGGAAAAATGGTATCCCATTTATTGCTATGGTAAAAGGAGACCATTTAAGCTAAAAATATGCCAACCTCACCCAAAGGAACTGTGTTTGCAGGAGGCCTCTTCAGCCCCTGCTTAGCTATTGCCTCCAGCAGTTGACCCAGTTCAGCCACAGAGATGACACCACTTCCTGAGAACAGTATCACTGATGGTTCCCAGGAAGGAAGTGGAGAACTATGGAGACATACTGTGGTTCTGGGGTCCCATGCAACAGAAACCAAAGGTCCCCTTCCCTCTGCTCCATAGTGACTACAGAGCCACACCCTTCTCCACCCAAGTTCCTGCCCACGTGCTTCTCACCCAGACATCAGTCCGCTCATCGATGACACAGTGGCTCTGCACAGAAAAAAGCTCAGGTGCCCGGTAGGAGATGGTGCACCGCTGGGCTGCCCAGTCCTGGAACAGTGTCCCCAGAGCTCAAAAGTGGAGCACAAGCCATATCATGTGACCAAATCGGTGCATGCATCAGAATGAGTTGGGGATGGGGGGAAAATGACAAAGGAACCTGGAGACTCTCTTACCTGTAGAGCTAGGGCCTGGCGTGAGCCCTCCACCTGGATGCATGCTTGATTCATAGACCCCAAGTCCATTAAAACTGGCTGCCCCTCATCACCAAGCAAAATATTGGTGGGCTTCAGGTCCCTGGAGGGAAGTGAAAATGACCCGAGGGCATCCTGGACAGGGAAGCTGGGATCCCAGGGAGCACCATGGGAGAATGCAGACATATCCCAATTCTCTTGACACAGCTCATCGCCTGGGTGCCAATAAGTGCATAGGGCCCTCCCACTGACCTGTGCGCATAACCTTTGGCATGAATGGCCTCAAGGCCTCTGCAGATACCCAGCAACAACGGAAGGATTTGGTCTTCAGTCAGGAAGTTGCCTTGGTCCTTCAGTCTTTCTATCTCATTCCACAGTGTACCTCTCTACAACACAAATTTTCCTGTGCTGAGAAGTTTTTTAAAGTCCCTACTACCTGGGACTCATTTCTATTCTGTGTCAAGGTCGGATACTGGTCATCCAGGGCTCTGTGGGATGTCGAATTCATATTGGACCCATTGGTCCTATAAGCCCCAAATTTAAAATGGCCCAAACCAGGACATGTGATCCTATCGTGTTTATGTATGACTACCCACAGAGCCCTTGGGAGGACTGTGAAATCTATTACAATCCCCTCTGTAACCAGCAGCCTTTCTGACCTTGAAGAAGGGTAGCAGGAGCCAGGCTTCATGCTTAGCACCTCGTTCTTTCAAACAGTAAGCCACGAGGCGAAGGATGTTGGGATGGTGGAAGAGGCGATGCATGTCCGCCTCTCTCTGGGCCTCGTCCTGGTCCTGCTGCTCATGACACAGGATTCGCTTCAGGGCGTAGAAGTGTCCATCATGTAACCCCTCCACTAGGTCCACATAGCTGAACCCACTGTGGGCCAAAGGGGTCAGTGAAGGACCATGGTCATCTCCCACATGGCTTGGACCCAGAGGCATTCCCTTGGGGAGGGAATTTCTACTCCATGCCTCTCACATGGAGGAGAAACCCTCCCAAGATGTGGCTCTCATATAGCTTCAAGATTTAGGGTTTGAGCTCCTCAAGAGCAGGGACACAGAAATCATTGAGGTTCCATGGTCTGAGTACAAGACATTCAATTAATATCAAGTAGCAACAAACATCTATCAGGTGTTTATGAGCCAGTCACGGGGTGACATGTTTTAAAAAATATACTATCACAGTTCTCACCAGCCCCTCAATGAGAAATCTCTATTAAGCAGATAAAGAAACCATTTACTTAAGGTCACACAAGGTGGATCCAGAAGGCCAGGGTACAGATTCCACTTTCTTGACCCATTCAACTAAGTCGGGTGAGGTAGAATCTAAGGCTAATACTCTAGCGTCTCTATCACATGCTGACTATTGTCCCTAAATGACCTGGGACTAGCTAAGTGACTTCCAAACACTCACCCCTCCCCCAATTTCTGGATGAAGAGGTAACGCTTATTATCAATGATGACAGTTCCCCGGGAGCAGACACACAGTGCGTGGCCCATAACGTCTCAGTCATCCTCTTCAAGGATGGTCTTTCTTCCAGGGAGAGTGGGCTCTTCCAGGCAATGGGCTGGGGGCCCAGCGGAGCATGCTGGAATGAAAACAGCAGGTCGAGGGTCAAGAACAATCCTGAGAGCCACTGGGGTACCAATACGGAGAGCTCAGGTCCAGCTCCTGGAACCGAGATTCACGTCTTAAAGCAAACAGGCCCCGGCGACTCCAGCGCTAAGAAGGCTGAGTTCTGGCGCTTCAAAGCGTCAAGCCACGCTGCGTCTTACCAGGCCGCTTCTTTCAACCCCGGCACACCTTCGGCCAGGTCCCGCTCTCACGCCCGTCGGGCATGGGGTGGCTGCGCAGGAGGTGCGGGACTCGAGCCCACCTCTGGCTGATCCTACCCTCCGTCGCCCGGGACCGAGCCCAGGGTCTGCCAGTACAGAAGACTCTTCACTGATCAGGCTCGGGCCTGAGCAAAGGGCCAGGGACCGGAAGCCACGGTGACATCATCAGTCCGCGCCGAAGTAACGGCCCTCTGTATCCTAGCAACAAGAGGCAGCAAGAGGCTATGGGGACCCGGAAGTGAGAGGCAGGGGCCCGGCTGGGGGGTGGAATGGTTTCTGTATCTCGCTGAGGGTTCCCACTTGGCCTTCAGGAAGGGTCAAGACGCAGGGACTTGTACCAAAGGGGAGCAAAGCCGGGCTCTGCCTGAGGCCCCTAGGACCTCCGTCCCCCAATGTCGGAGGTAGGAGTCAGAAAGTGGCCTACTGCAGTCTAGCTTGGAGGAGGGCCCAGGGAGGGGTGGGTCCTGGCCCTTATAAGCCTGGACGTCTGATCCGGTTAACACTTTCAAGCCTCTAGCCTGTGTTCCATTGCCTTAGCTAGAGTCCGGAGTGCGCCTTTGAAACAGAGTGCCGGTTTCTAAATCTGGTCCTAATAGTCTCCTAGCTGCGTGACCTCCAGGAAGTGATTTAGCCTCTCAGGTCTTCACTCTTCCCACCTGTAAGACAGTAGTACCTAGGGCAATGTGTTGTGAATTGTGAGGCCAAACTGACTAGCTGCAATCCCAGTTCTATTGAACTAAATGTGACTTTGGACAGCCACTTAATTCATTTTCCTCATCTGTAAGATGAGAATGATAATTATTCCACGGGTTTTTTCAAGATTAAACGAAACATCGTTCATACAGTATCTGACACATAGCCTTCAAGGTGTGTTGCTAAACAGAAATTGTTGTATTTTCTACCCTGATTCTCACATCTACAGCTGTGAAGGCAGGAGACATGGAAAATTGGATTTCCAAGCCTTTGCATTACGCAGTTGTTTTCACATCTTTTGCCTAGATAGGCAGATATGTTGGGAAGGGGTGCACACTCAAGAGAGGGGGGGGCAAATAGACTCCTTGTAGCCCAGTTTTCTTTTCCATAGTCATGATCACCATGAAGTTTTTTTTTTTTTTTTTTTTTTACGTTTTTCACTGTTTCTGCACCTGTTTTTAGCCCTTCGTTCTGTTGCTACTTATATGGATTTAACCTGATATGTGCCAGATCCTTTGCTAGTCATAAAGATTCAAGACACAAGTCCTCAGAGAGTTCAGTATAGAAGAGCAAGGCACTTTATTAAAATATAGATTCTGATTCTATGGTCTTGGGTAGGACCCAGGACTCTGCATTTCTAACAAGCTCCCAGGTGCTGTTGATGAAGCTCGTTAGTGAACAGCACTTTGAATAGAGAGATGTAGATTTTTACAAACTAGTGCATGGTGGGCGGCTGCAGGCAAAAGGCAAAGTCCGGGTTAACTGCCTGAAAACTTGAGGTGGTCTCCGCCCCTCTGCTTGCTGAGGTTCCTTCCCAGGAATCTGACACGTGATGGGTGGGACAGCCCTCACAGAGCAGAAGAGCCCTGTAAGTGCCATGGCTGCGAAGATGTTGCCTGATCCGGCTTCGCTGCTGCTGCGGCTTGTGACGCTGCTATTGCTGCTGCTGTCCCAGGTAAACTGAGTGGGTCAAGCTTCCTATCTGGGTGTGGCGGAAGGGAAAAAGAATTGGCAGAGGAGAGATGGTCAATCACCCGCAGGGCCAGTTCGATCTCTTAAGTACTTGTAGGCACTGACCCTCGCTCCAGACCTCTGCTGAGCTAGGCTTTCTCCCTTGCAGGCAGAAGCTCGCTCCTTCGTAGTGGATCGGCTGCATGACAGATTCCTCCTGAACGGGGTCCCGTTCCGCTATGTTTCTGGCAGTCTGCACTACTTTCGCGTACCGCGGGTACTTTGGGCCGACCGGCTTCTCAAGATGCGTTTGAGCGGCCTCAACGCTGTACAGTTGTAAGAAGTGCTCTCTAGAGCTTGGCGGAAGCCACATTTACTCTTCCTTAGAACCCGGTCCCTAGGAAAACAGACTGGGTTTAAGAAGGGTTTGAGCTCCAGGACTCCTCCGGCAAGGGTGGGAAAGGGTGGCCCAGAACCTCCTTCCAGCTGCTTCTCTCTTTCAAGTTCTGAGTCCCCTAGTTACCTCTGGGTCCTGTTAACATCTTCATTTCTCAGTTACGTGCCCTGGAACTACCATGAGCCAGAGCCCGGGGTCTATAACTTTAACGGCAGCCGGGACCTCATTGCCTTTTTGGATGAGGCAACTAGAGTGAACCTGTTGGTCATACTGAGACCAGGACCTTACATCTGTGCAGAGTGGGAGATGGTGAGTTAGTTGGAGAAGGGCAGAACAAAAGGCAAAGTTCTTGTGGGGTTTCAAACTCTCCTTTCTGCTCATACTGTAGAGGGCATTTACTCAACTCCCTTCCTTCTTACTTCCCCCACTGCACCCCAAAACAAAGCTATCTCTAGCTCAAGAGGTAACTTATCTGGTAATCCCAGCTTTAGGAAGCTGACAAAAAGACTGTTGTTTGAATTTGAGGCTAGCCTGGGCTACAGAGTGAAACCTTGTAAAACAAAGTAAAAACCCTTTGTGCTGATGTGTTGTAAACGTTTATGTTTCTCTCAAGGGAGGTCTCCCGTCTTGGTTGCTTCGAAAACCTAATATTCATCTGAGAACCTCAGATCCAGGTGAGTTGGACAAAAGATTTGAGTGCCTGAACAAGAGACCATCCCTCACTTGGAGGTCATTGTTATGAATAATGTGTAAGGGGAACCCTGGCCGATTCTATGGCAGGCAAGGGTAACCTAGGCAGATTCTTTCCTTCACGTCTAGCAGAATGCTAGAAACTGGGAACTGAGAGACCTAGTCCCTATGCAAAATAAAACTCATAATAATGTGTGATGCATACCTATAATTTCATGGCTTACAAGGTGGAGACAGGGGGGTCAGGAATTCAAGGTCATCCTCTACAGTCTCCCGTCTGTTTCTCCATTTCCCTTTCCTCTAAGTGCTGGACTGTCCCAGGATACAGTCCTTGGATATCTCTCTTTTCTAATTTTATTCTTTAGGTACTCTTATCCATTGTGTGCTAGAATTAACCCGTGAAGTATCTAACGACTGCCAGATAGGCACCTCTCTCCTAGGACCCTTCCCATGACTTCTCTACGCATACTGAAGTCCTATGTTGGTTCCCTATATAGACAAATAAAAAATGCAGTGATATAACTGAAACTAAGCTTCTGGTATGGCTTTTCAAACCAGCTACTTGTTCCTAGAATCTTCCATCTCAGCTAATGGCACTCCATCTTCACACCTCTCCTGCACTCATACTCTTTCCTGTCATCCTGTGTTCAGTCCATCAGAAAATCTTGTATGACTCTCAACAACATTGAATTTCATTATTTCTGGTCACTTCCACTGGCACCTACTGGCCTGAACCTCCCCTTGCTGGCATCTTAATTTCTTTCATCCTGTTGCTCTTCCTGGTTTGCTTTCCCTCCTGTATAGTCTGTTCTTAATATAGCAGCCTATAGGGAATGTCTATAAAAATAGTTTAAATATACATATCAAGTTATATCATATTTCCACAGGGAACGTCTATAAAAATAGTTTAAATATACATATCAAGTTATATCATATTTCCACTTAAACCTCCATAATAAGCTTTCCTCTCTTTCAGAATGTGAACCACATACCCCCTGAAATGGTCTACTAGGCCCTAGGCTTGTCTCCCTGGTGTCTGCCCTGCCGCCTTGTTCACCTTCCCCAGCCACACTACCCTCATTCACATTTACCAGCCTCACACAGAGCCTTTGCATGTGGTATTCCCTCAGCACCTCTGCAGAAATCACCTTCAGTGACACTTCCTGCCACCTTCTAAATCTTAAGCATCCCATACTGAACTATTGTATGCGTCCTCTCCTGCCTTGTAGTTTCTGTCATGTGTTTTTCTGCCTCCACTCCTAAAAAGAGAACCCATAAGGCAGAGACTGTTTTCTGTTTTCCTTTCTATATACCCAGAACAGTGCTTGAAGCATGGTCAGCACCCATAAATATTTGTTGAATGAATAAATATGGTTTCATATGTGCTTGGAAGGACATCCTATATGTAAAACATAAAAAGAAAAATAATTAGGGGCTGGAGAGAAGGCTCAGCAGTTAAGAACAATGGTAGCTATTTCAGAGGTCCTGAGTTCAATTCCTAGCAACCACATGGTAGCTCAGAGCCTTCTATAATGGCTTCTGATGCCCTCTTCTGGCCTGCAGGTATATGTGCAGATATAGCACCAAATAAAAACAAACAAACAAACAAACAAAAACAAAAAAGAAAAGAAAAATGATTAAATGATTTAAGATTTTTAAAAAATGGGCTGAGCATTGCAACACATGTTTTTAATTCCAGCACTTGGGTGGCAGAGGCAAGCAGATCTCGGTGAGTTCAAGGCCAGCCTGGTACACATAGGAAATTCTAGGCCAGTCAAAGGCTACCTTATGAGACCTTTTTCCAACAAAAAAAGAATTAAAAAACAATGCTTAGGCTGGGCGTTGGTGGCGCATGCCTTTAATCCCAGCACCTGGGAGGCAGAGGCATTTAGGCTGGGCGTTGATGGCGCATGCCTTTAATCCCAGCACCTGGGAGGCAGAGGCAGGTGGATCTCTGTGAGTTCCAGACCAGCCTGGTCTACAAGAACTAGTTTCAGGACAGGTTCCAAAGCCACAGAGAAACCCTGTCTCAAAAAACCAAAATAATAATAATAATAATAATAATAATAATAATAGTAATAATAATAATGCTTATGAGATGGGCCAAAAGGTAAAGGTACTTGCTTCCAACCCTGCCAGCCTGAGTTTGAGTTCCTTGGATTCATGTGGTGAAGGGAGAGAACCAAGTTGTCCGTGGCTTGAGTGCTTGAGTGCTTGAGTACGTTTGCATGTGCACGCACATGCGTGCATGTGTACACACACACACACACACACACACACACACACACACTAAATAATAAATAAATGTTATTAAGAAGTTCTTTTAAGCCAGGCGGTGGTGGTACACACCTTTAATCCCAGTGCTTGCATGATAGAGACAGACAGATCCGTCTTTGTGAGTTGAAGGCCAGTCTGATTTATATAGTGAGTTCCAAGACAGTCAGTGCTACATAGAGGACCCAGTCTAAAAAAAAGAATTAAGACACAAGTAAAAATGCCTGTCACCAAGCCTGAGAGCCAGAGTTTGATATTTGGGACCCAAATGGTGGAAGGAGAAAACTGACCCCTGAAGGTTGACTTTCAGTTATGTACCACCACAGCACATACATGTGTACACATACACACACACATACACACACACACACACACACACACACACTCTACCTTCAACAACACTGAATGTAACTATTTCTTGTTACCCACACTGCTATCTGCTGGCCCAAACCACCTCTCAGCTGTCATATCATAATAACCTATACATATGCAGACACACAAAAATAAATGTAATTTAAAAATATGAGCATAAAGAATCGAGGCATAAGTTAACATCAACTAGAGAAGGGGGGATGGGAGAAAAAGCATCAGGAAGAGGAAATAACATGTATGAACACATTGAGGAGGGATCATAAAAGTAATAAACAGTTGAGAAGTTGAGGCATGAGATCACACGGGCCGTTTATAAGAGTTCACACAAGTTCAATCACTACTTTTCTATTAAATTTCACAACATTCTTAGGTGTAAGTTGATCATATAACAGCTCCATATTATGTGTTTAGTCTTTTTTCTTACACGGAGTCTTAGGAGACACAATTGTTTCCTGTACTCCTAGAGTTTCCTCTAAGAGTCACTGCTCCTGAGATTGGAGAGGTGGCCCAGTACATCAGAGCACTGACTTCTCTTCTAGAAAAGCCAGGTTTGATTTCCAGCTGCTATGTGGTGGCTCATAACCATCTGTAACTCCAGTTCCAGAGGATCCAATGCCCTCTTCTGGCCTCCTCTGCAGTTACCAAACACATTCAGGCAAAACATTCATAATATAAAAAATAAATGAAAACAATAAAATTCTCAGGGTTTAGTTGTGAGCCAGGAGAGGGAAGCTACAGTCTGGAGTGTAGCACTGAGAGGCTATCAAGGATGTTGGGAAGGGGGACTGTGAAGGTAGTGACCCCTAATGAGCAGAGCACACTGCTCCCTCCTTTAGCCTTCCTTTCTGCTGTGGACTCCTGGTTCAAGGTCTTGCTGCCCAAGATATATCCATATCTCTACCACAATGGAGGCAACATCATTAGCATTCAGGTATGAATGGGAAGTGGGCTGGGCAAGGGAAGTAGGTACAAGGAGTCCTCACAGCTGGGCCCCTCTCTTTCCTTTTCCCTGGCAGGTGGAGAATGAATATGGTAGCTACAGGGCCTGTGACTACAAGTACATGAGACACTTGGCTGGCCTCTTCCGCACATTGCTAGGAGACGAGATCTTGCTCTTCACCACAGATGGGCCTCAAGGACTCAGATGTGGTTCCCTACAGGGACTCTATACCACTATAGATTTTGGCCCAGGTCTCCTAAACAAGGGTTGGGAGTGGAGCCTGGGCACCTCCTCTGTGATGCTTGTTTTTACCCTTGTTTCTTTTTGCAGCTGACAACATGACCAGAATCTTCTCCCTGCTTCGGGATTATGAACCCCATGGGCCATTGGTGAGAGGCCATCAGGAAGGGGAATCTGAAAAGTAATCTGGCTGGAATGGGGCTAGCTTTGTTCCCACCTCACTATGGCTCCTTTCACTTCTCCCCCTAGGTGAACTCTGAGTACTATACAGGCTGGCTGGACTACTGGGGCCAGAATCACTCCATGCGGACCAGTTCGGCAATAGCCCAAGGACTAGAAAAAATGCTCAGGATAGGAGCCAGTGTGAACATGTAACTGGGGGCACAGTTATTTTCCTGGGAGTTGGGGTTTAAAGCTAAGATTTCATAGGTCAGATTTTGCCCTTCCTCCCACCCACTCCCACTTTAGGTATATGTTTCATGGAGGTACTAACTTCGGATACTGGAATGGTGAGTACTGTCCCTGTGGTAGAAGCAGGAGGTAACAGGAATTACAGTCTTGGGCTGGACAGATAGGATGTCTAGAAGCTGACTATTGTGTTCTCTCTAACTGCAAGATTTTCTGCACAAAGCTCTTTGCTTAGTGCTTTTCACCTAAGAAGATGTGGAATTAATTAAGTTACTTTAATCCAGGTGCTGACGAGAAGGGACGCTTCCTTCCAATTACCACCAGCTATGACTATGATGCACCCATATCTGAAGCAGGGGATCTCACACCTAAGCTTTTTGCAATTCGAAGTGTCATCAGCAAGGTGCCCTTTTATTAATTGGGGAGAAGGGAGAGTGCCCATATTGTTAAGGAGCCCTACGAACTGGTGGTGTTTGTCTGGGTAACAGAGCCCTCTTAGCATTCCTTGAAGAATTTACCACTCCTATAGGATTATCTGGGGAACTATACACATGTGAAAAATTATAGGGTCTTCATGGCTCCCTGCAGCCCATCCCTGGGTTCCAGGTGGAGAACCTTCTTTTAGGGCCCTGGATTATTTTGGTTTTCCTATGACTACTGAGAGAATTTGGGCTCAGTTCCAGGAAATTCCCTTGGGACCTTTACCTCCCCCCAGCCCCAAGATGAAGCTTGGACCTCTGACTATGAACCTGGTAAGTTTCTCCTCCTCTTTCCTGGTCTTATACCATTGTTTTCTGAATCACTTACCCTGAGCAGCCCTCAATTCAGACACTTAGCAGTTTGGTTGCCCTTTGTCCTCACAGGATGGGAATTTGCTGTCTTTCCTAGACTTTCTCTGCCCCCACGGCCCCATCCGTTCAGTTTTGCCTTTGACCTTTGAGGCTGTCAAGCAGGTAAGACATAAACTTGCATCTGATGGGAATGGCAGACTCCTTCAGCCGCTACAACCAAAAGTTCCTCCAGCTACTAGTCTTTCTCACAGATACCGTCCTTATCACCAGTTCATCTTAAGGTACCCATTCTTCTGTATCTAGGACCATGGCTTTATGCTGTACCGGACCTATCTGACTTACACTATTGTAGAACCAACAGCATTCTGGGTGCCAAATAATGGAATTCATGACCGTGCCTATGTGATGGTGGATGGGGTAAGACCTAATTCCCAACCAAATTATGACCTCAATTTCTTCCCTTCCCCCAAACTCTTATAGCTTTCCAGTGTCTCCATCTCTAACCCTTTCCCACCTGTTTGCTCACATGGACAGAGGTTCTGGTTATAAGCTGGACGAGGGAGACCATGGTCAAGAATAGTTTGTTAACCAGGGATGTGGTGGGGTACACCTGCATCCCCAGCACTCAGTAGGCTGCAGCAGGGAAGTCACATCGTGGGCTATATAGTGAATTGTGGCTGCCTGGACCACATAGAGACCTGTATGAATGTACCAGAATGGCAGATAACCAACAAGATGATTACATTGTCCTCCAAATAAAGTGTTCTAATGTGACTCACTGTGCAGTGGCCAAGAACTGAGTGCTGGGCCTTTTCTTTACTAGAGCCTCTCTCTTTTTCTTCTTTAAAATTTTACATTACCAACCAGTTTCCCTCCCTCTGCTCCTCTTCCATCTCCATTCAGAAGGGGTAAGGCCTCCCATTGAGTCAACAAAGCATGGCTCCTCCCCCTTGCACCAAGGGTTGGTGAGGCATCCCACCATAGGGAATAGGTTCCAAAGAGCCAGTTCATCCATCAGGGACAGGTCCTGGTCCCACTGCTAGGGGCCTCACAAACAGCCCAAGCCACACAATAGAGCCCATCTCTTATCCACAGGTATTCAAGGGTGTTCTGGAGCGGAATTTGAAACACGAACTATATTTGACAGGGAAAGTAGGGGCCAAGCTGGATATATTGCTAGAGAATATGGGGAGGCTCAGTTTCGGGTCTAACCACAGTGACTTTAAGGTAAGCTGGTTTTGCCTATTATTCCCCAGTACTGACCACCTGTCTTGGAGAACAGGGCCTAATGGAAAACTCCGTCCTTAGGCTTAGGCAGAGGAATAGTGCTTGAGGATGTGGACATGGCCAGTTACATTCTGGAGCTTGACTGGGGACAGTGAGGACACTTGTGTGGACTCAGTGAATGACTTTCCATTGGCTTCCCCACAGGGCCTGTTAGAACCACCACTTCTGGGGCAGACAATCCTCACTGAGTGGATGATGTTCCCTCTCAAAGTTGATAAGCTTGTAAGGTGGTGGTTCCCCCTGCAGCTGACGAAAAGAGCACAGCCTCAAGCTTCCTCTGGCCCCGCCTTCTATTCCACAACATTTTCAGTGTTAGGCAAGCTTGGGGACACATTTCTGTATCTACCTGGATGGACCAAGGTATTGCTAATGGTGGTAGTTAAAGTGGGGGGAGTGGGTGGGGGACACATTACAAAAAAAAACCAGTTGGGAATAGAAATTACTAATCTGATTAGAAATCTGAAAGAGGATAATTCCACCCCGTGGAGAGCTGACCTTTTGTTTTTCCACTCCATCCTTTCTCCCAGGGCCAAGTATGGATCAACGGGTTTAACTTGGGCCGGTACTGGACAAAGCGGGGTCCACAACAGACCCTATACGTGCCAAGACTTCTGCTGTTTGGTAGATCGACAAACAAAATCACATTGCTGGAGCTAGAAAATGTGCCTCATGAGCCCCAAATCCAATTTTTGGATACGCCTATCCTCAATAGCACTTTCCACTGGGGATATACCTATTTCCTCTCAGAAACACAAGGTTCATATGAACCAATGGAGTTAAGTGGGCACTGAAAGAAAGATAACACTTGAATCTGGGACATAGGGCAGGATCCTTTGGTGCTGGCCACAGTGACCATAAATAATCAAAGGCTACAATCCCTCTGAATGTAAGTACAGATACAATTTTCTTGCCAAACTTTATTGTGATTAAAATTCCAAAGACAGTACTGGCTCCACACACCTCTGTGGCCCTGTCTTTGCCCTTGTTCCTGAGTGTCCTTCACCCCCATCTTCCACATAATCTCAAGCTTCAGGAGGAGGAAGAAAAACTCTAGGTCTGAATGTATCCTCTCGGGGCCCAGAGTTGGACCCAGGTGGCTATAAGAAATCAGGAAGAAGGCCTCCCTGCCTGACTGCGATGGTCTCGGAGGCAACGAGTGGAGCAGAAAGAGAAGTCGAGGTAGTGAAAGGGAACGAGGCCTTGGAGGGACACTCCACAACTCCAACAGCGCCTGAACAAAGGGAAGAAAAATGACTGGACAGGTACCCCACAAACTTTCCCATCCAAGCCTTGCCCAGCCTTAAAGGTCCCAGGGAATCTCGAGTCCCCTCCATGATCCTTCTGAACACCAAAAAGGCATCCTTCCCAGTACCCCAAGTGGCTCCTATGACACAGGAGCCTACCCTTTCACTCATCCCCGGGCCCCCATACCCAGCATTGACAGCTGCAGAGTCAGGGACTGGAGGCCTAGGGGCTCCCAACTGGGCAGCGAATCGGCGCTCTGCAGCCAGAGCTCTCTGAAAAACAGAATAGATGTTAAAGAAGGGTTTGCAGAGGTGAACGGCACATCCAGGGAAATGACTGCTCAATCTGGGAAGGCAGGCAGGCTCACCTTCTCTCGGTCACTGAGGGCAGCAAATCGCCGTTGTTCTTCTTGTTCCTGCTCTTCCTGCTCCCTCTGCTTCTGCTGCTGCTGCTCCCGTTGCCGTCGAGCTGCCTTCTGCTCCTTCTTCCTTGTAGCCTGCCGGATCTCCATTTCTTGAGTCAGTGGCCCTGGCACCTGGAGGATTTCCCAAAGATATTGTAAAACTACAAGGAAGTAGGAAGGACCTAGTGAGGATCTCTGATGCCCTCCCACTCTGTAGCTCCTTTTCCAGCTCACCCGAGCCTTGTTGTAATCATAGGCATCAAGATTCTTCTCCATGAACCTTCGGAATTCATTTCGCGTTGATTTGTCAGCTGCTACAGTATAAGGTGGCCGAGCCCTAGAGTCCCTAAGGACAAAAACCCAAAACCGAGTCTACTTGCCTCCTGCTTTTCAAGTGCCAAAAGGAGCTACCATCTTATGCTCTCTAAACTGGCTCCGGATGGAGATACTTACTGCACAGTGGGGTCAGCACCTGCCTCCAACAGCAGACGAACTACTAAGCCTCTTCCAGCTGCAGCTGCTGCATGCAGGAGAGTAAAGCCACCAGAGCCCAAAGGGGCATTGAGTAGGGACATAATGCCAGGGTCTACAGGCCCAGTAGCTAGCTGGAGCTTTAGCACCTCAATGTCCCCAGCTCGGCAAGCATATAGAAGCATATCCCAGAGCTCTGGCTGGCCAGGGGCTTTGGACTCATCAACCAAACTGTCCAATGGGGTTGTAACCACTTGGTCTGGCTTCGAGAATGGCTCATCTTCTTGAGATTGCTGAAGAAGAGTCACGTGTGTCCCACACTGCTGGTCTTGACTTCTCTCCTTCTTCTTTTTCCTCCTCCTCCGCTTGGGCAATACCTCAAATTCACGAAGATCCAGGGTCCCCAGTGTCAATTCTACTAGCTCCAACTCTACTTGGGAGCCACCTTCTTCCTGAGACTCTGAACCTAGAAAAAAACATGCTGTTAGATCTATCTAAGGAATAGGGAGCGGGGGGAACAGTGTGGGCGTCCTCAGATGGGTTTACGTTTATAAAAAGATACTCAGATCATCCTGAAATGGAGTGTTTTTATTCTATCCCTGGACTCTGCCAGTGAACAGCATTAGGGCAGTACAAAGCAGAAGAAAGCACCATCGTGGTGGTGCATGCCTTTAGTCCTGGCACTGGAGGCAGAAGGACAGTGAGTTCAAGATCACCTGGGCTACATAGAGAGTTCCAGGCCATCCTGGGCTAAATAACAAAGACCTTGCCTCAATAAGGAGGCAGTTTGGTATGATGGCTCATGAGTATAATCCCAGCATTTGGGAGACTGAGGCAGAAGACTGTCATGATTTCAAGGCCAGTGTGGGCTACACAGTGAGTTCTAGACCAGCCTGGGCTAAAGTAAGTATGTCTCAAGACAACATACCTAATTTTATAAACAGATGCTGGTAGGAATGAGTGGATGGATGTGGGTATGTTTTTTTTTTTTTTTTTTGGTTTTTTTTT